GAGGCCAGTGACTGAGCAACACTATACACACTCTTAGGAAACAAAAGTCATCACAACAGCAAGCCAACAACATGCCCACGACTGAAAATTGGTAAGAAACATACGGTAAACAGAATTACAAAATATATCTGTAAAATAAGATGGAAAGCATAGCATTAAGAAAATGCTCTTGCGCTTTGCCTTAAATTAGGAAGTTGAATTCCAGTCTTTTTTTTTAATTCTGTTTTCGAAATTTGATGTTATTCTATTCATAAAAACAATAAGGTGAAATCCTATGAGATAAAATGAATGGTAAAAGTCCATCAACATACAGTTTCATGCTTCACACTAAGCCATGGTTTATGTAAAAAGCTACATTTGCCTAGATTCACAAAAGGTACATCATGAAAGAACCCAGCCAAGGCAGAGAATGTTGTAGCAGTCCAATTCTAATCCATCTTAAGAAAATCCAAAAATAGTTGTGCAATTATCCCCTCTTCTTCTCCAAAGGTCACCAGGTGGGTCTAGGACAGTGATGGCGAACCTATGACATGGGTGCCAGAGGCGGCACTCAGAGCCTTCTCTGTGGGCATGTGCACCATTGCCGCAGTCCTAGGCCTTCAGCTGGGTTTTATAAAACCTTTTCACTTTAGGCCTCCACCGCCACGTGCAAAAAAAAAAAGTTCAATCAGTCAATTTCAAGTTGTCGCGGGAAAAAAAAAGATCTTGCAAAGTTGGAATTGATTGATTAAACTTTTTAGTCCCACCTAGCCTGCCATTACCAACGCAGCCACGCCCACCCAATTGGCCACATCCAACCAATGGGCCATACCCACCCGGCACTCAATGATGCATAAGTGGGTTTTGGGTTGCAGTTTGGGCACTCGGTCTCTAAAAGGTTCACCATCACTGGTCTAGGACAACTCGCCACGGCCACCTCGCCATGGCACAACTCGCCACGGGACAAGAGTTACACTAATATCAATGATTAGAATAGAATAGAATAGAATAGAATAGAATAGAATAGAATAGAATAGAGAGTTGGAAGGGACCTTGGAGGTCTTCTAGTCCAACCCCCTCCTCAAGCAGAAGACCCTATACCATTTCAGACAAATGGTTGTCCAATCTCTTCTTAAAAATCTCCAGTGTTGCAGCATTCACAATTTCTAGAGGCAGGTTGTTCCACTGATTAATTATTCTGTCAGGAAGTTTCTCCTTAGTTCTAGGTTGCTTCTCTCCTTGATTAGTTTCCATCCGTTGCTTCTTGTCCTGCCTTCGGGTGCTTTGGAAAATAGCTTGACTCCCTCTTCTTTGTGGTAGCCCCTCAAATACTGGAACACTGCTATCATGTCACCCCTGTTTTTTCTTTTCATTAAACTAGACATACTCAATTCCAGCAACTGTTTTTTATGTGTTTTAGTCTCCAGTCCCCTAATCATCTTTGTTGCTCTTCTCTGTACTTTTTCTAGAGTCTCAGCATCTTTTTTACATCGTGGTGACCAAAACTGGATGCAGTATTCCAAGTGTGGCCTTACCAAGGCATTGTAATGTGGTATTAACACTTCACGTGATCTTGACTCTATCCCTCTGTTAATGCAGCCCAGCACTGTGTTGGCTTTTTTGGCAGCTGCAGCACATTGTTGGCTCATATTTAAGTGATGTATTCATTTTAGGTTTATTTCTTATGTGTATTGATATACAACCCTATCTTTTTACATATTGCCTTTAAAATGTGCATTGTCTTTGATTTGGGAACACATTAAAATTATAATCCTTATGGGAAAAAGTAGTTTGATACTCATCATTTTTGATACTCATCGTGCCTCCTGGAATCAACTAATGAGAAGTACCAAGGTACCACTGTAGTCAAAATAACGAGGTCACCTTTTGTGTTTTCAGTGACTGTTCCCGCTAAAAAGAAGAAATATGCATTCTAACGGAACTCAGTCCTTGCATGGATGAGACCGTCATTGTTCCCTCTCTACCGTAATTCAATTTCCAGAAAGTTGTTTGGGTTTTTGAAGTCTGCCCAATTCATTCAGCATGCAAAACCTTTTTTCCACCGGGATGGTGAATATTGGTACCTCCCTCTCTCTCAAGCTTTGTTTTGACATACAATTGTTGTGACTAAAGAAGTCCTAACACACAAAAGTCTAAGATATTGATGGTGAACCTTTTAGAGACCGAGTGCCCAAAAACTGCCCCCCCGCTCCACCCCCTGCCCGCCCCGCTCTGCCCCCCCCATTCCCCACCCCGGCTGCCCACAGGACCACTCACTGCCTCCAGGGCCTGCCGCAGATCACCCAGGCAGCCCAGCAGGGCTATGGCAGCCACACCCTCTGCCTGCGCCCTGCAGCATCAACTGCATGATGGGGTGTGAGGGCAGAGTTCTGTCTATGTTGCCTGGCTGCCATGTCCTTGGCTGTGCTGCTCCGTGTGGGCCACACTCGAGGGTGAGTCTCCTTCAGGGGGGCTGCTGAGAGGAGGGGGTCACAGGGAGAGGCAAGGCTGGGGCAATGGCACGTGTGCCCACAGAGAGGGCTCTGTGGCACTTGTGCCATAGGTTCACCACCACTGGTCTAAGAGCTTTGCACAGAATAGAGGAGCAATGAGTTCAGAAGATGCAGCTGTGTTATATAACTATGCTTTTGGGTGTTGTTATATCAGCACATGCAATGCACAGGGTTGGCTTTTGTACAACCATTATGATGACAACTGGAATGTCTTTCACAGATACTTGATCCAAATGATGTGGCATCAGCAGCTGGAAGGAGCCTTACCTTGAGAGCAGAACCTTTTGGAGTGAAACATTTGAAAGGCTTCTTCTCTTCACCCTGGGCTTCATCTGGCATCTTCTGGCGTTTCTCAGCGGCTTCTGCCCTTCTTCTCTCAATTTCTTCCTTCAGCCGCCTTTTCTCCTCCTGCCAAAACAACAACAACAACAACATAGGAGGGAACCATTTAATTGCCTATATCAGCAATTTTAACTAATCCTTAAGATTCGAAAGTGGCAATAAGTAACAAGCCCAGCTGGTGTTGGGTATTAACAAAGAGGAGCAAATAATGAAAGAACAGTTGTGATGCAAGATTTAACACTTTGTATATGTATTGTGGCATCAGAAACATGTCCCACAGGGCAGAGCATGCAATAGTTCATCACAAAAATTTTGTCATTGTGATGAAATTTTCAGATTGCACAAACTAGTACTAGCCACCATTACACAAAAATGTACATAAAACCTGAGACATCTAAACCTACCATCAAACAGTGTAGACGTCTTACATTCAATGCCTGATCACTGTCTGTGTCAGTTTCTATGCAAATATGGATATGGACAGTTGCTTTTAAATAACGTTCAAAATGTGTCCAGTTTTTGGATACAATTCATAGATAACTAATCTGTATGTTCATTTAATTAGCAACACATCTGAATGGTTCCAGGGTGGGCATGACTGCTGGAGATCATACAAAAAGATGGAACAAGAGACCAATTAAATGCCCATTGTGCTAAGCCATGATATGTTTCAAATATGGTATGTTAAATAAATCAGTGCCCTGGTTCATTCATGATTCTAAACCAGTGATGGCGAACCTTTTAGAGACCGAGTGCCCAAACTGCAACCCAAAACCCACTTATGCATCGTCAGGTGCCGGGTGGGTGTGGCCCATTGGCTGGGTGTGGCCAATTGGGTGGGCGTGGCTGTGGTAGTAACGGCAGACTGGGTGGGACTAAAAAGTTCAATCAATCAATTCCAACTTTGCAAGATCTTTTTTTCCCCGTGAGAAGTTGAAATTGACTGATTGAACCTTTTTTTTTGCACACGGCGGCAGAGGCCTAAAGTGAAAAGGTTTTATAAAACTCAGCTAAAGGCCTAGGACTGGGGCGACGGCACACGTGCCCACAGAGAGGGCTCTGAGTGCCACCTCTGGCACCCGTGCCATAGGTTCGCCACCACTGCTCTAAACTCAAAACTACAGTGTTGGAATTCTCAGACTCTGGGAATAAAAATGGGTATTTCCAAAATATTGCAGAACAAGAAAGATGGAGTAAACGACTGGACACATGGTTTACAACCCACAACGGAAGTGTCCATGCAGTATATTAATCCAAACAAATCACACAGAATCGCTTCTTGGAACTTCGTGCATTCACTCTGCTAAGCTAAAATCGAATAAACCACCGCCGAGTCGAAACACACCAAATGCTGCCTACAAAGAGAGTAGCAGATTCACATATCACCCTAAGTCAGAATTAAACTGCTCTATCACTTTCGGCTGCAACATGCTTATTCGTCTCTGAACTAACCTGTTTTCTTTCTTAATATGGTATAGTGAATTACAGATTAACTAGAAGGTTAGATTTACACAACAATGCTAAGACACACGTTCAAAAATCAACACTAGCCATGCTTACCAGGTTGTGTGAATTTATTTTATTTATTTATACCCCGCCTTTATTATTTTTATAAATAGCTCATGGTGGCAAACATACCTAATATCTTTCCTCTTGCGATTTTCCCCTACAACAACAAACTGTGAGGTGGGTTGGGCTGAGACAGAGGGACTGGCTCAAAAACACTCCATCGGCTTCCATGACTAAGACAAGACTAGAATTTATAGTCTCCTGGCGACTGGCCCAAAGTCACCCAGCCGGCTTTCATGCCTAAGGCAGGGCTAGAACTCACAATCTCCTGGTGATTGGCCCCAAATCACCCAGTCGGCTTTCACGCCTAAGGAAAGACTAGAATTTGCAATCTTTTGGTGATTGGCCCAGAGTTTACCCAACTGGGTTTCATGCCTAAGACGGGACTAGAACTCACCAGAGAGATGTACATCTACCATTGTACATAAATGGTGAGGAGGTGGAGAGGGTTGGTAGTTTTAAATTTCTGGGCACTTATATTTCGGAGGACCTCTCATGGACTATGAATGCTAACATGCTTGTGAAGAAGGCACAGAGGAGGCTGTACTTCCTGAGAATGCTCAGGAAGATAAATTTATCTCAGCATCTACTCCTGTCCTATTATCACAGCACCATTGAGAGTGTCCTGACATACGGCATTCTTGCATGGTATGGGAGTAGCTCTGTAGCGGATAAAAAAGCTCTACAGAGGATTATTAAAACTGCCCAGAATATTATTGGACTCCAGCTACCAGCTCTGGATAACATCTTCGAATCTCGTTGTTTGAGGAAGTTGCATAACATTCTCAGAGACTCTTCCCATCCTGCCTACAATCTTTTTGGACTGTTGCCTTCTGGCAGAAGATACAGAATAATTAAAACTCGGACCACACGTTTTCTGAATAGTTTTTATCCCAGAGCTGTAATTGCACTCAACAACGAACTAAAGGGCCACCATCAGTGAACTATTGGACAGTATTACTTGGTCTGTTGTGTGGATGTTGGGGGGTTTTAGGGTGGGGATTGCAGTGGGGGGAGTGTGTTGGGGATTATGTGTATGGGACTTGGTTTTTGGGTGTCAAGTAAATTTCGTTGTATATGTATACTATGTACACACATACAGTACAATGACAATAAAGTATTTATTATTATTATCTCCTGGTTGCTAGCCTGATTACTTAACCGCTAGGCCAAACTGCATCTGTTGGGTCTTTAACTTATCTAATTAGGTGCCCTGTGCAAAGCCAGTTAAATCTGAAACCCAGAGACACATCCTTGCTCTCTTTCTGAACGCACCAGCTTTGTTACCTCTTCCCGAGCTTTCCTCTCCGCCTCGTCTTTCTTCCTTTTCTGTTCTTCGTCTTCCAGAATTTTCTTCCGTTCTTCACGCTTCTTCTTCAGCTCCTCCAGTTCCACCGCCGCCTCTTGTTGCTTCTGCTTCAGCTTCTCAAATTCTTCACTCTCATTTTCACCCCGCCGACGGCGCAACTCCTCGACTCTCTTGCCGGCTTCCACCTGGGGCTTGGCGTCTTCGGATCCCGGTGTGGTTTTGAACCCCGGTCGGCTGAGAAAGAAAGAGAAACATTTTACGAAGAAGAAGCCACCTGTCGCTCACCGATTCTTCTTCACCCTGAAGAAAGAATTATAATCCCCACTAGAGATGGGGTGCAGCTGTGGATGGTATCTCTTCCTAAGGCAGACCTTGGTTTCAAGGGCTCTCTCCGTTTTAAAACATCAAAATCCAAATCCTCTTTATAACGACTGCTTTTTGAAATACAGATAATCTTCAACTTACAACCATTCGTTTAGTGACCAGAGCCTGGTGGCGCAGTGGTTAGAATGCAGTACTGCAGGCTACTTTTGCTGATTCCCGGCTGCCGGCAATTTGGCAATTGAATCCTGACCGATTCAAGGTTGACTCAGCTATCCCTCCTTCCGAAGTTGATAAAATGAGGATCCAGATTGTTGGGGGCAATAGGCTGACTCTATAAACTGCTTACAGAGAGGGCTGTAAAGCGCTATGAAGTGGTATATAAATCTAAGTCAGTGTTTCTCAACTTTGGCAACTTTACGATGTGTGGACTTCAACTCCCAGAATTCTCCAGCTAGCGTTGCTAGCTGGAGAATTCTGGGAGTTGAAGTCCACACATCGTAAAGTTGCCAAGGTTGAGAAACACTGATCTAAGTGCTATTACTATTGCTATCTGAAGTTACAACAGCACCAAAAAAATGTCACCTATGACTGTTTTTCACCCTTATGACTATTGTAGCATTCCCATGGTCACGTGATCAAAATTCAGGCACTTGGCCTCTATTTATGACAGTTGCATTTCCCCAGGGTGATCTGATCGCCATTTGTAACCTTCCTAGCTGGCTTTCAACTAGCAAAATCAAAATGGGGGAAGACAGATTCGCTTAACGGTTGCATGATTTCATTTAACAACTGCAGCGATTCATTTAACTGTGTGTGTGTGGGGGGGAAAGTGATAAAATGGAGCAAAATTTATTTAACAACTGCCTTTACTGGGAGCCGTTAGAAAGGTAATAAGTAAAATATATTTTAAAAGTAGAGGATAATTTTGAGCAAGGTTGTCCCCAGGATAAAAAAAAAAAAAAAAAGCAGCAACACACATTCTCAATGCAAATTTCTTCCCTTTGGTATGCAGGTGCAACACCAGGATGCAAAACTTGTGTTACACCTGGGCGACCCTCCTTTGGGCCTCTGCCTCAGGAGAAAGGAATGAGGGGTTAAAGCAAAGCAATTGTGTAATCTAACCACGAGATAGAGGGGAGTGATGACTTCGGTAAGGAACACTGAGATGGGAGCCATTTGCATCAATCAATAGACTTGTATAAATGAAGGTAAGAAGTAAGTACAGGTAATCCATGACTTAGTAATAATAATAATAATAATAATAATAATAATAATAATAATAATAATAATAATAATAATAATAATAATAATAATAATAGTAAAGTTGGAAGGGACCTTGGAAGTCATCTAATCCAACCCCCTGCTCAGGCAGGAAACCCTACACCATTTCAGACAAATGGCTGTCCAGTTTCTTCTTAAAAACCTCCAGTGTTGGAGCATTCACCGCTTCTGGAGGCAGGTTGTTCCACTGGTTAATTGCTCTAACTGTCAGGAAATTTCTCCTTAGTTCTAGGTTGCTTCTCTCTTTGGTTAGTTTCCATCTGTTGCTTCTTGTCCTGCCTTCAGGCGCTTTGGAAAATAGCTTGACTCCCTCTTGACCATTCAAAGCTGCATTAGACCTCTCCAGAACTACTTACGACCCAGTTTCTAAGTTCTGAGGGCTGCCCCACAGATAACATGACTGTATTTGGCGCGCTTGGAAACTGGCCCACATTTACAGCCATTTGCAGTGTCCCACTGTCATATGACTACAATGTATGACACTTTTTTTTGTCAGAAACTGGGATTTACTTCCAGTTTCTGGCAAAAAAATGCCCACTAGATACAACGGATTCACTTAACAACCAGTGTTTGCTCAATGACTGTGGCATTTACTTTATGACCACTGCAAAAAAAGGTTATAAAAATTGGCCGCATAATGACCATAATTCCAGGCTCAATTACTGTCATAAATTGAGGACTACTGTATCAGGATAAGAGAGCACCAGAAAATCCCAGGATTTTCAACAAATGTTATTTTCCATATTCTATCTCAGAGAACATTTAAAAATGGCTACCTATTAATTTCATTATGCTGGAAGGAAAAATGGATAAAGAATATTATTGCCCCATTTTGGTTTGATATCCATAAACCTCTTACTAGGGTATTACACTACATTTTAAAAGATGATGGTATACTTTTGAATTATATTCAAAAAAGTAGAACTTAGAAGTGACTTATCAAGCATGGGGAAGCAAGAAAAACTGTTGTTCAGTATTGAAAATGTAGAGCTATCTCAGATTAATCCTTTTGGATGACATTCTATTGGATAATAGAAATACTATATTATTTGTGTGTCCAGGGTTTCATGATCTGTTTAAAAATTAGGCTGAAAAAATTAATTTATGCCAATAAGGTTTTTTGTTATTTTGTATTTCTGTTTTTCTTCCTTTTTTGTATTATTATCACCATCACTTGAAATCCATCCGCAACTATTTGTCCAGGATGGTATAAGGACTCCTGCCTCTGATCAGGGAGTTGGACTAGAACAGGGGTAGTCAACCTTGGCTCTTTTATGACTCGTGGACTTCAACTCCCAGAATTCCTGAGCCTTCTGGGAGTTGAAGTCCACGAGTCATAAAAGAGCCAAGGTTGCCTGCCCCTGGACTAGAAGATCTTCAAGGTCCCTTCTAGCGCTACATTTCTATGATTCTACTGCAGAATTAAGACCTCATTGAAGTTATGGATTGTGATCAACCATGCTGATACAGTGCATGTTGAAGATAGATAGATAGATAGATAGATAGATAGATAGATAGATAGATAGATAGATAGATAGATAGATAGATAGATAGATTTTCCCAGTTTAAACTAACTGGATATGAATATCAACTGAATAATAATACTTGCAAGATTAAGCAACAGCCATTTACAAGACTAGGGAAGGCTGATTTATGTTCCCTGTCAAGTTAAAGCAAGATACTTTTTCAAGGTGATGCAAAAAAGTCGTCCTTAGCCTTTGCATAGCAGTGTAGCCTGTTGCAATAAGACCCATAAAAGGCAACAATTGGATCCGAGTGTAAACGTCCTTGCCCAAGAGTGTATATCTTACCCAAAAGCATGCTCTGTGTGCTTCAGCTTGTGAGCAGGGAGTTCTTGGAAGCATTCCCCATTTTGTGGCTTGGAATCCGGCATTCCCTTCTTGCGATCCCAGATGGATTTTGCCTCTTCTTTGGGCATTTTGTCTCTGTTCAGTTTGTTATCTTTGATCTAATAAGAAGACATGGTTGTAAAAAAAAAAGAACGAGTTACATCCAGGACTCTGAAGGAGTCGTCAGAAGTATCCATCTCCACTGTGAATGGAAAGATAAAGAACTATTAATCTACTGCAAATGTAAGGTCCTAAAAACAGCTTGTAGATTCAGCTTTGCTCTGTAGGAATGCTCTGAGTTGGGAAAGATTTTACACATGCTCACAAGCTTAAAATAATACTTGCTTCCATTGTTACGGCCCCTCATTTAACAGTGGCTCATCTATACAGTGAAGATGCCAAGGAACCACATAATATCTGGGCTAAGTAATCAATCATCAAAAGCATTAAATTGTCTACAAATTTATGTCCAGATTTTCGGGTAGGGGAGAAAATTTTTATCACCAGCTTTGCCTCTTATACATATTCACCCAAATCGCTGAAATGTGTCTTTTGCTTACAATCAAAAAGGACACTGAAGCTGGAAGAGGCACTTTGTCTCACCCCTAATTAGATGTCCTACAGTCTGTGTAACATCTGGTTCTGGCATCTCTGGGTTGGATGTTCACACAGGACACGTTCCCATCCAACTGAGTCACAAAGTCCCCTTGTCTATGAAGTAGGAATCAATTCATTTGGAATATTATTACTGGGGTTTGTAAATAGTGCTGCTAAGAGCAGCCAAAAGATGCATTACAATGTTTGTGGAAACATTGAAGTAGACTTGATGTAATTAATGTCAAAGATAAGCCAAGTAGAGAATTGTCCTCCCAATTTGGATCTGGAGATGTAAGCATGTTTTGTGCATGGCTTGTCTTGGCTTCCCACCTCCCCTACCCAGAAACATTGTCGGATTAGTGTCTTTTGGAGCTGCTCTTGACCATCTGACTATCAAGGCATGCCGAGACATGCCTTGATGCTAATTGGAGTTGTGTGCAGAGTGCAGCGTTCCAGAAAAACTCATTCTGGTCTGCAGGAGAAATTAATCTCATGAAGGACATCGGCTAAGGCAGTGGCCAACGCAAATCGGAAATAGCAACAAACAACTGTGCAAATGCTCTTCCCTGACTAAACTGATCCTGATCCAGATGGCCAGGAGGCTCACTGATATCAATCTAAATTAATTTAATGAGACAAATCTCATTGATTTCAGAAGGAAGGCTCGGGAAATCTGAATTCAGTTCAGTGGCTTATCCTGCTTTCAGCATTGCTGTTTCTTTGGGGGAAAAAAAACATTTCTGGAGTTCATCAGACTTTTTTTTAAAGTCTAGAGCAGGCTCAGTTTGGTACCACTAACTTCTATATTGCCCACCAGGATGACTCAAACATGTAACCCAGGGGTAGTCAACCTTGGCTCTTTTATGACTCGTGGACTTCAACTCAGGAATTCTGGGAGTTGAAGTCCACGAGTCATAAAAGAGCCAAGGTTGACTACCCCTGATTGTAACCTCTCTAGAAACACAAGTGTGATAGCTGCTCTAGGGGGCGCTATTTCTTTCCCTTTTCTTTTTCCTAATACAGTACAAGGCAGAAAAGCAAACATACTACTTTCCAGGTAGACCAGACAGGAAACATGACCAGATGAGCTAAATCTACTTTATTATATATCTTGCAAGTCTGATATTACATTTCTCCTTCTGTCTCCTTTACATCCCAATATATTAGGGAGGGTCTGAGTCTCTGAGCCTCTTGCCACATTCACATTCCTGTTGTGGACTCAGTTGCCTTTTATCTGACCATTCCCTTGGCTAGTCTTATTGCCCTGTCTCCCAAGGTCATACCTATACATCAGGAGTCTTCAAACTTGGCCCTTTTATGACTTGTGGACTTCAACTCCCAGAATTCCTCAGCCAGGCAGGAATTCTGGGAGTTGAAGTCCACAAGTCATAAAAGAGCCAAGTTTGAAGACCCCTGCTGTACACCATTCCAGGATAAGAAGCCTGAGCTAAAGGCATCCACAACCCTGGAACTAATCCTTCAAAAAAAAAAAAAGAATGTAGTATCTTTTCCATAAGGGCAAAAAAGTACTTTAGAAAAGTGATATTTGCATGAATGAATTGAAATTACTTCTTGTAGGATGAGAGTGGTTTTGTCAGTCTGTCTTTTCCGCCTTTCAGATCTCTTTTAAGTAGAGAAAGGACTGGGAGAAATTCAAAATCTATTCCCCACCATACTAGATATGGTATTTCTGAAACAAGCCTAGATCTGCCAAATAAAAAGTCCTGGGTTTGTTCCAAATTCCTAGGGGAAATTATGGCAGCAACCTGAATTGGAGAGAGGATGAGACAGATCCCTCTTTCCATTCTAATATTGGTATTAATTTTTGTCTTTTAACATGCACATTTTAATAACATACTTCCTTAAGAAATGAAAGATGCTTTAGATGTTTCCAGTAATCTGCAGGATCATTTAAATGTGCTTGATTAATGCAGTGTCGACTGATTAAAATGCAGGGAGTCGATAAACAATTGGCTACCAGCTTTATTTATCACCCCTAAAATGTTATTTTAAATATTTAATGCTTTCTTGGAAATTCCAAATCCAGGGTCTGAATTTCAATTTTAGCTCAGGTTATGAGCATCTGAGCAGAATGATTAGGCTAACTGCTTATCTTCTTATAAACAGAAGGGCATTAAAAAAGGGGGGGGGGAGGGGAACCCTGCAAGCAAGAAAGAAAAGAGAAAAATGCTGTTCATGTAGTATGTCTAGCCAAACTGGAAGCAGGAAATACCACAACTATCATGTCATGAGAAAGCTTGCTTCGGGGCAGGCTTTGCAGTCCAGCTCTGCACACCCCAAGGTCTTAAGGCAGTCCAGAAAATAGAACAAATTCTCGGATGTAAAACAAACTCAAAACAGACCAGGGAAAGGCAGTTTCACATGAAATTTCATTTCATCTTCCTCTAGCCCTGGGGTAGGCAACCTTGGCTCTTTTATGACTCGTGGACTTCAACTCCCAGAATTCCTGAGCCAGCCATGCTGAGGGAAAATGGAGTGGTTTCCAAGTTGAGCCATGCTGGCTCAGGAATTCTGGGAGTTGAAGTCCATAAGTCATAAAAGAGCCAAGGTTGCCTACCCCTGCTCTAGCCATTTTCAGTTTTTCCAGG